CGTTCATAAAGACGTCTTTTTAGAGTAAAATTTCATCTTCTACAACTTGAGTAATGTGGCATTTTTCTCGTAAACGCACGATTTCAGCGTAAAATCGAGTTTTTTGTACGAAATCGAGGTCTAAACCTAAATATCATAATTTCATCACATAATTGACCTTTGGCACCATTTAAAATGGTTGAAATTGACCCAAATTTTGGCAAACATGCTTTTTCAGCAAACGTCATCAATTACCGCCTGGGGAGCGGAACATTTCAGACTTCCTTTTATTTTTTGACGCACTCTAAGGACATCCATTTACATGTCAAGGGCTAACATACATCAAATTAATGTCAACTTAATTTTAACCTGAGAGCGGTGCACAGTGGGCCAGAAAGTGTGTCTATCGGCGCTTGATTGATAATGCCCGCTAGATCAGACTTATCACTCAAGACATAATGATCCCTAGGGTAATTTGATCTGCTCTCTCCAAATTTTGTGTCAAAAAAGTCGGCAAAAACGCCTAACAGTACGTTTTATACGTTGAAAGCCGAAGAAATTGCTTCATAAAAAAGAGGATAGTCCCATGATGCCTATAAAATGGAGGAAAACACAATCATCGAAAAAAAAGAATGTCATCTTATCATAGAGATCTTAAGGAACCACAGTGCACAGTAAAACGGCCAATGCACTATTTCATGAGAAATTCGTGTTTTTAGGGTTTTTAAGCCTTCTTTAAAGATAATCGGCTGGGGAAACGCGTTCAGCAGCATTTTTTCTATTTGTGGTAGCTGTTTTGAATGTTTTTGACCTTCGACTCTTAGGCGACTCTTCAGGGGTGTAATGTACTGTTTTGCTTACTTTTAATTTTCAGCTGTATATATGGCCTCTGATGAATTTTCAAGGGTCTTACGGTCCACTGATGCCATTTTTACCCATTCTTTGTATTTTTTTAATGTTAAACATAGAAGCATTAATTACCCTAAAAACTGTACACATTTGGAAAGAGCGCAAAAACTGAATCAATAATGTTTGGAGTAACTTTTTGCTGTGTTACCCAATGTTCGAGAAAAGTCGTCCTTAAGTGCCAAACATTGGGTTAATGAGCTTGTTTCGTATGTTTAATTCCGGTATTTTTGCGGGACGAGTGCACATACTTCAAGGAATTTTCTTTGATTTTTTTTTAAAAACCATATTAACTCACGATAAACGAACTCTAAGTTACGTAATCACCTGCCTGCGAAATACCTCTGCCGCGTATGATAGTCCGAGATTGTAAACGAACTAACTCCATCAATCGAAGCTTCGCCACCTATTATTAAGATGAAGGAATTTATCACTCTATATCGACGGTGCAAGTCGGCAATCACATTACTCGTTAACGGTGTCTGAAAATCTCCGCGTCGATGTTATTTTTTTAAAGGAGAACTAATTGACATCATTCCTTGAAGTTTTTGCAGAGTTTTCTTCGCACAATGAAGAAAAATCATAGCAGTTTTATAGAATTGCCGTTGAATCGTTTTCCGTTTAAAAAATAAAGTATGACAGGAAGTCTGCGACGTCGCAAACCGAGTTATGTGATTGCCGACTTGCACCATCGATATAAAGTTGCTGTTACTCACTCTGCCCTCCCCCCCCCNCCCCCCCTACCGAAAAATTGGCCGTAGCGATTTCCTTTAAACTTCGTACACGCTTAGCAATTGTCGTGAGGAGTTGATCAAAATTATTCCGATCAGAAAACGTTGCCCAGGACGCCCGCAAGAGCGGAAAGTTGTTTTTCCCTATAAAAATGCATTGGGGATACGAGGTTATTTACGCGCACTGTGCTGAACAGGTTCAATCGACCGTGTCGCGTGACGTCACAGCATTGTAGACAAAATTTCAGGAATCGGGGGGTATTTTTCGACAGATTTTTGTGAAAATACGTATCAGCAGGTACTTTTCGACGAGAAACTCGAAGTTTTGGTCAGATTTTCAAAATCCAAGATGGCGGCCGTGGCCTAAAATGCTATCTCGGCTTCTGTTCCATCGATTTTTGCGCAACTCGGTTTCAGGGAGTATTTTTCGACGGGAAACTCGAATTTTTGGTCAGGTTTTCAACATTTAAAAATCCAAGATGGTGGCCTCGCTCTATAATGCGGTCTCGGCTCCTAGATCATCGATTTCTGTGAAACTTGGTGAAAAAAAAGATAAGGACGAAGATATTGTCTACTCATCATAGTTAAAAACCATGTGGGGCGGGTGCGGCTCGCGGAGCGAGTCGCAAGTTCATCGCGAAGCGAAAAACCGAGGGTCCAGGGGCAATCCTCGGCTAGGCGTGTCAGCTCGCAATCACGGTTAGTTGTTACTCTATATAAAGCTGCTGTACCGGCTCACTCTGCCCCCCCCTCCAAAGAAAAATTGGCTGAAGCGATTTCCTTTAAAATTTTTACACGCTTAGCTATTGAAATGAGGAGTTGATCAAAATGATTCCTATTCCAATCCGCTGCCTAGGACGCCCGTAAGAATGAAAAGTTGTTTTTCCGTATAGTAATGCATTGGAGATACGAAGATGTTCACGCGCACCGGGCCGAACGGGTTCAATCCTGTCGCGTGACGTCACAGCATTTATACGAAATTTCAGGTTTCAGGGGGTATTTTTCGACGGACTTTCATGAAGCTTGGTAGCCGGGTGTATTTTTCAACGGGGAACTCGAATTTTTGGTCGGATTTTCAAAATTTCAAAATCTAAGATGGCAACCGTGGTCTAAAATGCTAAGTCGGCTCCAGTTCGACGGACTTTCCTGAAACTCGGTATCCGGAGGTTTTTTCCGACGGGGAAGTAGAATCTTTGGTCCGTCAGTCCGTTAGCAAGATGTTGTTCTGAATTTCCTGATCTGGCGACGGATTTCCCCGATTTGCTGTCTCACTCCAAACGTTCCCACTTGTGATTGAACTGCTCCGTTGCTTAGTTCCTCCCCGATCTGCATAAGACCAATGTAATCGTATCGGGGGAACAGCAGAGTGAGACAAGAAAACAGGGGGAACGTGTAGTAGGCAACGCGGACAGCCCTCACCCCCGATTTGCAGAGATTTTCACACTCAACTTTTCTAACGAACTGACCGAGGTCTATCGACCTTGCTCGGGCCGACCTAGATCCGCCCAAATGCTCCTAGATCGGCCAACCTTTCCGGGCACATCTAGGCATGCCCAATTCGAATGAAATCAGGCGGATTTAGAAAGTGCTTCACCGCTTACTGGAAAAATCTCTGCCACTGAAATGACTTGCCAACTCAGCATCATTACCCAAGTAGCAGTGATCGCGATACCCAAATAGCGATTCTATCGGTTGGTTATCGCGATTATATCTGTTGCAATGTATCGAGATATTATCGCATTAAAAATTGCGATACATGGCGATTAAATCGCTACCTACACTTTGCAATTTTTGGTTCGATAAAATCGTGATCAATTTTCGTCAATAAAATAGAGATTAAATCGCCATTTATTGCGGTTTTTATCGCAAAAATATCGCGATAAATTGTCTGGCGATAAAAACGCGATTTTATCGCGATAAGATCGAGGATAATCGCTCAGATGTTGATGATCCTGGCGATTTTATCGCCGTTAAAATCGCAATACACATATAGCGATTTCTCTGTTGAGAAATGCTGCTTGGGCAGACGAGCAGGCATTCAAGGTATTGTGCTTGTAAAAGTGGCAAGTGATAGGTCTGTGAATTTTTCTCTGAGGTCAATGCAATTTTCTCGTTATGTAATTTTCTCGTGAGTAATTGATGAGGACATTTATGCAAAACTTAGGTAAGAAGTCAGCTTTGAGGTAAAAGGCACTGATTTGATAGGAAGAACTTCGGTCAGTGATGAGGGGAAACCATGGCTAAGTGGGTCAGATTTTTTATAAACTTGTGTGTAAATAAACTGAAGAATAGAATGACATTTTTTTTTTATTCGGTAATCCTTGAGCATACTTGTTGAGATTAAAATAATTTCCTATCATGAACATGCTTTCCGAAAAATTAAAATCAATCGTGTTAAGCTCAATTTTGAAAGACTCTCATTTTTTATCCGGCAAACGAACTGATTGAGAACTGCAGAGGTCTTATTCAGGACTGGTACTATAAGTAATCTCAGTAAGGTTTTTAATCGTTAAAAAGTAAAGAAAAAAGAAAGAAACCTTAAACCAGTGTTATTTTCATAAGGAATCCAGCATTGATTGATTTTTATAATTGAACTGTGAAGAAAATTGTGTAGGTATAATCGAATTCTGTGACTTTTCACCCCCCCCCCCTCAAATTCAAGATCACAAGCCAAGAACCTCCTGTTTTTAGGTTTGGAGTCGTTTATCAGTCCAGTAGAACCAACCTCCTCAATCGATTTTTTTTTTTTCAAATCTGATGTCAACACTGCAAGAAATCTGGTTTTGGCATAACATAATTCTTATCGTGCAACTCATAAGTTCACTTAGCGATAGCATACCTACTTTTTGACAATGATGCCAATGATAGGTATTTTGGGAAATCATGTCTAGTAAATACTGTTTGACAATGACTTTTAGCCTTTTATGTTTAAAATTGAATTTGTCATACCATTTTAAGATGCGTTGTTTAATCCAACAAAATTGCCCAAAAAAATGGCTGCAATCAATTAACCCATTTGCTTGGATAACCGATACGTCATTTTGACGTCATTAAAAATCAAAAGCCCAGCGCCCAGCCAACAATTAACAACCTTGATGAGTCGATGAGCAGTTCGTTGGGCAGCCATCTCGGAAATCGGGTATGTCCATCGGAGTTTAACAACACTCGTTTTTTCCATGCGCAGTCATTGGAAAAATTATGATGTACATGGATAGGTTAAATAAAGCATCTACAATGAGTTATTCTTTGTTTGTATGTGTAAGACATAATTTACTCCATCCTTCCATCCCCATTTTGATAAGTTTTTTTTACAATGCCCATATTTTTTTTCAGTTAAATGTATTACTCTTTCTCAAGCCTCAAAATTAATTTTTGTGTTTCCAGTTGCCATTGAACTGATTGTGCAGCATATCAGAGATTTCTTGAATCGGCAGCGAACAGAACATGTAACTGAGTTTTCAACTTTCGGTACACACAGATCTCCAAACAAGCAATTTTCTCGTCCACACTAATGTTTATTTCAACAGGTTTGTAGGTTTAACTTCTAGGTACCTAACTTAAATGTAAAAGGCTGATACTGTATGTAAAGGCTCATTAAAGTTTTTCTATCGCGAGTTCAGCCAACGCATAAAATAAATAAGACTGTGTATGAATTTTCAGTAAAGAGATTTTAGACAAGTTGTATTGAAAAACCAGATTTTGAGCTTTAGATGGGAAACTCTTTAGTCCTGAAGAATAAAGTGAGAGTGCTTTGATCGTTCTTTTTATTTGCCAAAAAGGCTTAGTTGCATTATACTTAATCCGGTAATTTTTATGCCCTAAATATGGTAGGTAAAATTCTGAATACTTACAGTGTTTCCTCGAAACTGCATTTTTTTTTATGCAATCTCAGACTCGCCATAGTTTTGGTTTAGTTTAGCATCTTGTGATATCTTAGGACTTATGGTATTCGAAGAAGACTCCTTGATACTCTGTAATCAAGAACTTACCTTTGAGTTCCCGTTGACTGAGGTCCTTCCTCCCCTGTGGCCCGATTAACTAATCTGTGTTGACAAGACAAGACAAAGCCTCATCTTAACCATGCCCAGAGATGGAAAGTGAAGTTCCAAAAGACTCGTATACATTTCGCAAAGTATGAACTCAGTTAATTTTTTGGGGAATAATTAATTAAACCTTTGGAAATCCGGGCAGCGTTTCAGATGGTTTTCCTGTTGTTGCGGCAGAACATGCAGGTACCCTAATGAGGTAGTACACACGAAGGGGGGCACTAAGGAGAGCTTAGAAAGGGATTTAGCCCCAGCCTAATTTCCAAACCTGACGAAAATGTTCGCAACACGTGAATATCTTTTTGGATTGAAAAATGTAAACCTGCTATAACAGAGTCCATTAAACGTTAGGATGCTCCAGGGACGTCCATAAGTTCAAAGAGCATCCAACGGTACTCAAAATGGGAATTCTCCATGCTGAATACTCTTTTCGGAACGCTATCTGGGTTAACTTCTATTTGGTGGAAGCCGTTTGCAAGGTCAAGGGTCGTAAAGTAAGTACATTTCCCAAGTTTGCCGAACAGCTTGGATATGTTAGGTATCTGGTATTTGTCAGGGTTAGTCTTTCCGTTAATTTTCCTATAGTCAATTACCATCCGTCATTTCGTCGCCCTCACGACGAAGGGGCGTATCAAGATTTTGACTACTTTTCAGGAGAGCAAAAATAAGATTTTGAAGAACGTAATTCCTTCGCCGCTAGGTCCCTAATTAACGTATCCGATTTTTCTTTTCGCTCTCAGCACCGGAAAAAGATCAGGATTTTAAATATCAAATTGAATTTTTAAAATTATGCCTACCAGCCCTGATATCATTGAAATATTAGAAAAGGGTCCTGATACGCCCGTTGGCGAAACAATGAATTGGGCACCTCCGCTGCTCCGCCGCGTCCTCTCGGCGGGCGTATCACCTTGTTGCGCAATATCTTTTCTCATTTCATTCCTTACTTGTTTGTTCTTTCACTTAATTTCTTTTCTTTGAGTTTGATTTTTCTTCCGAATTTTTTCTGGGTGGGCAGTTTTGAATATTTACTATGGTTTCAGGTGACAAAATCCTTTTTGAGATTTCTAAAAGGTTATGAAAATGAGAAAATTAAGAGAGCGTATATTAAATCAGAATTTTCAATAGCAGTGTCTTGTTAATAAGACTTTAAAGGCATCTATGCTGAAGTATAAACATAAGAGAATATATTTTATGTCTTACTTGATAGTTTTACATACTTCAATTTAGGGCTGTTTACGTTAAATCAATGCATTGATAATAACATTTAAGAAGAAAAAGAGGTTTAAATTCAAATAGATGTGTCGATATTTCAATCTCAGGGCACACTATGAAATTTCACTTTAAAAGATAAAGTAAAATCACTTTTTTCATTCGCCAAAGATGAAATAATGTTATCTGTTAAGATTGACTGCATTAGGATGCTTAATTACATTTCTGACACGACAAGTCAAATTTGGTTAACTGCACTTACTTTTGATCAATAAAAGCTCGCAACTTGAGGTGTTTAAAAATAATGTTTTCATTGCCACTCCAAATGAATTTTTGCCATCCTTGATCGCTGAAAATTAATAATCTTACCAAAAGCTTTGATACGTTGAATATTGAAATCTCATTATCTGAACAAAACGGCGGAAAGATTTTTTCTTTTATTCCATTTAAAATACTTCATTTTGCTTACTCTTGATGGTCAGATGGAAAAGCTGTGTATGGACAGTTAGAACAATAAAGTTAAATATGAACGATGAATGTTCAATTAAATGATGAAGCAAGAGTATGCCTGAAAAATCAAAGAATCAACCATCGATACTATAATTTACACTTATTATAATTACAGGTGAAAGACAAATGAAAACGAACATGATTACATTTGATACGTGGTCAAAAGAGAACAATTAGAGCTAACGAAGTGTTTATTGGCATGTAAATTGAAACTGAAAAAATCTTGACCTAGTTGAGAATCTTTTGACTTTTGCCGTCTTTACACCCCCGGACAATTTAGATCTTTTCCCAGAAAATCCTGTCAAACCAAAATTAAGAGGCGAAAACCCATCGAAATCAATGAATCCCGACTGACAATACGAATCGTGTTTACCGAAACACCCGACAAATTAGGTTTCCTGATGAATAACAAAAAAGGGCTCTTTAGGCTGTTGCTTTAAAACACGCCGAAAAATATAAAAAAAATACCGCCAGATTGATCTAAAATCCATAGCAGGATCAACAAAATACAGGAACAATAACTGAGAAACACACCCGATGAATTAGTGACGGGCATATTGTGTTTCGCAAACGGAAAGGGTCCGATTTTCGAGGACGTTTCATTGAAGAGAAGTCAGGTAGTGGACACCGCGAAGCGGCGTATCATCGAAACCCTCGCGTTTGCTTTATGATGCGCCCGTTTGCCGAATTCAGAAAAGGTCTTTCTTATGATACGCCTTTTTGTTTTTCCTTATTAACTCAGTTAATATTGAGAGTTGAGCTCTCAAAGAAGGCTCGATGGAAAAAGGAGCTTTAGGTGCAGGAGAATCCATTCATAACTCAAAATGACCAATTTTGATGATACACCCCTTCGTCGTGAGGGCGACGATTTGTTTCTCATCAGTTTTTTTCGGAACTACCTAAACGGGAGAAGACCATGAAGAGAGGCTAGGTCCAATTGGACCGCGTTAAACGGAAAGGAACCAAGCCACATCAGCTATTGCCAAATTTAACTGGGCAGTTTAATTTTTCACATGAAAACGGTTGTGCAGATTTTCACGCAATTTTCAGGGAATTTTCTCCCTAGTGCGAAGCGAATTCCTTGAAATTTTCAAAAGATTCCGTACAAACGTTTCCTCGTAAAAAATTAAATTGCCTAGTTAAATTTAGCAATAGCGGAGGTGGCGATATGATATGACTTAGTGTAAACTGGGCTCTTATCTTCAATACGAATGGTGTGTTTACCTCGTGGACAATACTCAATTTTTGACATGCAAAGAGAAATGTATCGGAAAAGAGGATGTTCCATCTGCCATTGAAACTGGGCCCAGAATGGAATTTCCTTATCTTCGTAGGTATTGAAGGGCATGGACTGAGACACCCAAAAATGGTTGAATTTTTTTTCAAATTTCCCCTGAGCGGGGAGAGACGGGGGTTCATACGGAAAACAGTTTTGTGCCTATAAATTTTGAACAGTTCAAGATATCGATTTGAATTTTTTTAAATGAAAGGTCATTAAATGAGCTTTCTCTTAGTATGTAATGTTTAACAGTTTGGTCAATTTTTGACCAATTCTTGGCGTGTCAAAAATGTTCCATGAGTTCAAAAATCAGATTTCCGTAGTTTACGTAGTTCGGTAATTAGGGGAATTTGAAAAAAAATTCAAGCATTTTTGGGTGTCTCAGACCATGCCCTTCAGTGAGATGAGGAGATTCCATTCTGGACCCCGTTTCAATGGCAGATGGAACAACCTCTGTGCTTGCTAGATTTTCAAGAGAAGATTTTTCTTCCCAGTTCAGCTCAGACGACCTTTTCGCAACATAGAAAAATTAAATGAGGGTTCAGGGTCAAGGTAATCAAAGTTTTGATTTATTCTCTTTTTTCATTCTTTTCCAGACATGTGCCTCCTTATCGGCACTAATGTTAAATAAATCGGCATTATTCTGAAAGAAATGGACATCATTAGGACAACCGCTCTTCAGGAGCACCATTGCCAAATCGTTCTATCCAATCAGGACGGTTTGGTTCTCATTTTAATTGAATTTTTGTTTCTGAATGTGATTTTGCAATATGGCCTGGTTACACGATCAAATTTCCGTCAAATTCCGATCAAAATGATGACCAAGATGGCGGTCGAGAGTTATCTAGATTGATGAGTAAAATTAATTAAAACAGCCTGTTGATTGAAATAAGCATGAAATAAGCACGGTTGTGTGGAAATCAGATGAAGGATGAGCCCCGCAGCTCCATCATCTACGATCAAATTTTTGCAGGCCCCAGAAATTTGATGGTAGATGGTGTGCACCAGTCACCATTTGATCGGAAATTGATGGATATTTGAGCATGTAACCAACACATTATGGTATGATAAGATGGGTCCAGTCATGGATAAATATATACTACGTATATGCGTAGTATATATTTATCCATGGTCCAGTTTTGTAGTTGAAGAATTTGATGGAGGCATTGGGCGATCTTAAGGTTAGGTCACTGTGCCGTATGTCAGTTTTTAAGAGTTTGAGAGCATCAGAAGCAATGAGGACATGGAAGTAATTGTGAAGTTTCCAGTGTTAAAAGCGGACAGGGAGGGTTGATCCAGGGGATGTGGGGGTTGTTTCTCCATGTTTTATTCCAAAATATGAGGTTACCTCGAATTTCCAATCTCATGCTAAGAAGATGAGCCATAGTGCGATAATACCATAAGAAATAATGCTGTTGACTGACAGAACCTGCGTAGTTTAATGACAGAAACTGAAATGACAAATACCAAACATAACAGACTG